GAACTTAGCTCCCAAAAATTCCGACCCTTAAGTAAGTTTGCTTTGATCCATTTCCCCCATAATGACTCACCAGCAAGCATCCTCCAAATTAGTTTAAGACCATAGACTTTGTTTACTTCTTTAAGAGCTTGAACACCAAGACCACCTTCATTTCTCAATCGACAAACTTCACTCCAAGACACTTTAGAACTCGAATTTTTGAGAGAAGGACAAGTCCAGAGAAAAGCTCCACAAATTTGCTCCACTTCCTTAACACAAGCACTCGTGAGCCTAAATGCTGCAGTCCAAAAGTTTGCAATGCTCAAGAGGACATATTTTACCAATTGAAGTCTTCCGGCATACGACATATATCTGCAAGTCCAGGTGCAAATCTTACTCCTGATTTTCTCCAAAAGAGGAAGGTAATCCTGCTTACTCATGGCTTTTGTCATAAGAGGTAAGCCCAAATATCCCACAGGAAGATCCCCTGCAGCAAACTGGAAATTCGTCAAAATACTACATTTCTCTGCATCTTGAACCCCAGCCATGTAAATGGTTGACTTCTCCAAACTAATACTTAGCCCAGACCAACTCTCAAACTCTTCAAAGACAGTTAAAGCACCTTCAATTGATTTTTTAGAGCCCTCTACAAAAACCATAAGGTCGTCCGCGAAGCACAAGTGTGTAAGAGAGAGACTCTTACATCCAGGATGAAAATCAAACTTCCGTTCTATCACTGCTTTATCAATCTTCAGTGAAAGGACATTCATACACATCACGAAAAGATAGGGGGATAAGGAGCATCCCTGTCTTAGACCTCTGGAACTCTGGAAATAGCCAGCAAGATCCCCATTAACTTGAACAGAAAATGATGGACTTGTGATGCAAAGCTTAATCCAGTGAGTAAACTTCTCAGGAAAACCCCAAATCCGAAAACTCCTCAATATGAAATCCCATTGTACTGAATCGAAAGCTTTAGATATGTCGATTTTCATAACACATCTTGGAGATATACCTGCCTTATGATATCCTTTCACTAACTCAGAAGAAAGGAGAACGTTTTCCATTAGAAGCCGCCCTTGGACAAAAGCAGACTGTGATAATTAATCTTGGCAGAATTAACTTTAGACGGTTAGCCAAGATCTTCGAGACAACCTTATAGACAACGTTGCAACAAGCTATGGGACGATAGTCCTTCATCTCCAACGAGTCAATCTTCTTAGGAATAAGAGCAAGGATGGTAGAGTTAATACCTTTAGGTAGAAACCCAAATCTGAAGACAGATTGAACAGCAGTGATGAAGTCTTGAGCAATGTAAGGCCAAGCTGTTTTGAAAAATTCACACGTATAACCATCGGGGCTCGGGGATTTATTACTTGGCATTGCAAAAAGAACTTTGCGGACAACTTCCTCAGTAACTTCAGCTTCCAGCATACTACTCTCTTCAGAAGTACAACGGAACTTGAGTAAATCTTGCAACTCATCCTCAGGAGCACCTTTGTATGTATCAGGAACCCGATTAAGAAACTCTTCAAAGAAACTCACAGCCTCCTCTTTTATCTCCGAATATGTTGACACCACAATACTGTTTTTGCATCTGATTTCTCTAATCAGATTTTGAGCTTGGCGGGTTTTTATAGCTCTATGGAACGTTTTATTGTTCTTGTCTCCCACATCTAACCAGTAAAGCTTTGCTTTTTGCTTAAGGAAATCCTCCTCCAGACTAGCTAAATGTAACCACTTCCCATAGGCTTCAGACTCCTCTTTCATTGTATTATCACTCGGAGACTCTAAAGTCTTGTGTTGTTTCTCACATAATTCCTCAAAAGCCTCCTTAGCCTTTCTTGAGAGATTTCCCAATTTACTTTTTCCCAACTCTCTAATCACTGGCTTCAGGGCTTTGAGTTTCTTTGAGAATCAGTGCATAGCAGAAGTAGAGTGATACAGCCTCTCCGTTGAGCTCCAATATCTGTCCATCAGTGGAAGAAATTCAGGAAGACTTCCTAGCACATTCACAAGCTCGAATGGCCTCTTGATTCTCTCACTTGGGGGATAAAGCTGGACAATACATCGCGTATGATCAGAGCAACCCCCCGGTTCAAAAATAGAGTAAGCATTACTGAATCTCCTAAGTGCCTTCTCATAGAGCAAAACCCTATCCAATTTCTTGCAAATAATACCATCCTCACGTTTATTACACCAAGTGAACCTTGGTCCTTGGTAAGCCATGTCAGTGAAACGGCAACCCAGAACCATACTCTGGAAATCACTCATATCACTAGAAACCCGATTCATATTATTAAATCTCGAACTCTCAACTCCATCCAGGATTTCATTGAAGTCACCCATAATTATCCAAGCTTTATCTCTGAAACTTGGAGAATTATGATGATGAATCAAATCATCCCAAAGCATCTTCCTCTACTTCTCTTGATTACTCGCATAAATACAAGAGTAATAAAAAGCATCTTCCCCTTGCATTTCCACCAAACAGGTGATGATCTGATCCGTCTTATATACAGGAGACATACGGATCATATCCCTCCAAAGCAACCAAATTCTTCCACCTCCACTATCTTCATAATTAGTTATAGAAGACCAGTCTCTGAACACCTTATTCATAATTTTTCCAACTTTCCCTTTTTTTACTCTTTTTTCCAAAATACATCCAAACTTAAACTCCCTTTTATTTACCCAATCTGCTACCACGTAATGCTTCAAATCTTTATTAAATCCTCTGACATTTCAGAAAAAACACGCCATATTTATTGATTTTCATTTGAGAACTATAAACAAAGAACATGTTATAAAAAGAAAAAGAGTCTTGGCTGAGGGAGATAAATACATAGTAGAAAATGAAAAGATATTAGAACGTGTCTTTTCTTACGGGTTCAAGATCTAATAGCTTATATTATCCTCGATCATAACATTGTTGAATGTCATATAGACTTAAGATTTGGACGTTAATTACTTTCATATACATTTCAAACCAGTCCAAGTTTTTATGTCTTTTAAAACTTCAAATCTTTGGAATAGTGTACCACCAAATAACATGAAATGGAGAGTTTTTTTTCAACATTTTTTCATCATAAACCGTTACACATCAAACATTTTCCGCACGTATGATTGCTAGGAAAACTGTACTTTGGTATAATTAAGAAACATAGTTCTTTTTATTGTTCTGTAAAATTAGAAATTGTAGAAATTTGTTTTTTACAACGCTGATTGTTTTGAATTAAAAATTTATTTATAAGCGATTTATAACCAATAAATGTTGTATTTATATTAATATAAGACGTTTTTATAAGGTTTTTGGAAGAAGAACTCACTTTGGTGGAACTCACTTATTTCAAAAATATTTATTTTGAACTCATTGAATATTATAAATAAATAAAATATATTTTCATAATTAATTCAAAATATCTACTCTGAAAAAAAAAATTATATTGATTTTTAAATTTACTTAAATTAATTTATGTTCACAGTTACTAATATGTTTCATAGGATTTAAATGTGTTTTGCGAAGAGAATGCTTCTTCTATTTTTTCCAAAGTAAGTGAAGATTGTTACTACTTTATTAGGATGTATTCATTTTTTTCTTCCTTTAGAAAGGATAATAAAAAAAAAAATTTACATTTTTACATTCTCAAATATCAACGGTACTTTATGTTTAAATTTCAACCTAATTAATTTTGTTATGACTATCAGTTTTTTATTATATTTTTATTGAATCGATCAGTCACAACCACTTATGTTATTTCACTTTGAACTAAACAACTTCAAAATAAGTTATACACTATAGTTGATAACCACTATCAAATGGAACATAAAAAAATTTCAGTTTTGAACATATTTTCTCATCTTCATATTTTTAGAAATATTTAATTTACTAAGACCATAAAATACATTGTAATTTGATTTATAATAAAACACACGAAGAGTGAAAATCTAAATAGAAAATATACAATAAAATATAATAAATAATGTTAAAAATACTTATCACTGATCACTAAAAAATCATGTTAATAGTAATAAAAATGAAATGAAAACACATTTATTAAAACCATAGAATGGTACGTAACAAGATGTTATTAAATATACAAATTATAAATTAAATATGCTCGACGTAAAAGCACATAAAATGATACATCATACTTGGATATATTTAAATAAATAATTTTCAATGTATTATGTTCATGATAATTTTAAAATTACTTAAAAAGAAACTAAATTATTAACAAATTAATTTACAAATAAAACTGAAGCAATATTTTGTAACGTAAAAATAACAAATGGGTTAAAATTATATTATGTTAATAAAATAGATTAAGATTCTAAAGACTTCTAATTCATGTAATATTACAAAATTCATAAAAAATATTACAATTAATATTCTACCATTTGGTATATTAAATAATATTCTAGATCAATATTCAATTGTTAGTTTTCAACTATTACACGTAAACAATATTATTAAGTATGCTTTTTTAGAAGGAGGTTTTATATTTTAAGTAGGTCATTGAAGTACTTTTTCTTTTCATGAATTTATTCGAGATTAGATTCCGATCTTTTAAACTAAGATAATTATGTTATATGCATAATTATATTTCTTTTACATACCTCTAAAGTCTCAAACTTGATCCTTCATATTTTATTAATTAGTTGTGTTACATAGAATAGAAACATATTTTACAATAGCATAAATTTCATGGTATATTGAAGATAGTTATATAACTAAATTATCTAGGACCACTAATGAATTATATTCAAATACATATTTCAATCTAAAAATACAAAATGAAAATCAAATTTAAAAATTAATTAAATATAATTAATATACAAAAATTCACATACAAATAAAAATGAAAAATGTAACAAATTTAAATATATTATTCGCGCGATGAGCAAAGATCTAGTATTAATAACAACTAAACACCAGAAAGTTATAAATTCCAATGAAACAGAAGACATTTCCCCCATCTGGTATGAACCAAGCAAGGTAAACCAGTAAACGCAGAACACTAAACATACTCTGGCGAGGCTGAATCAAAAATCAACCTAAGTTGTTGCTTAACTTCATCTTCTGCAAACGTTGCGTCTATGGCGGATTTAGCCAATGAAAATGTTTCTCTTTTACCAAGACCTTCAAAGAAAATTAAACCAACAAGAAATACACTTAGATTCATCAAACAGCAGTCTCAAGAATCAGATAAGAACTCACCAAAGGAACTAACGGCGAGAGAGTACTCGTTGGAGAGGCTAGTGGAGAACACTCCAAAATCATCAGTGCATATAATCAACGGATGCTTTGCCTTGTAGAGATCAGCTGTTACATCAAAGATTTTAAGTTCAGGTCACTTCAATGCATCAATAAAATGAAACAAAGAAGAGATAGATAGAAAACCTAACCAAAGTGGTGTATATCTATTGAAGATATTGATTTGGTTATAATGTTGGATGATAGACATATCTCAACCTGCACAACAACAAAAAACATCAGTATGTAACATTATCAGAAGATTATACAACTCTAAACTCAAATCTATTACCGGAATCTGAAAAGATTTCAACCTCTCCCAGTCTTGATCTTTGAAGAAACATGCATGACCAACTCGATGCGGTTTGAAATCAAGCATTGCTTGGATCTCTTTCGGATTATGAACCTACAAGGAACTAAGATGAAGAAAGTAGTAGAGAATCATAACAAAAGAAACAAATTTGAAGACCAGGTAGTACCTCTCCACAGTGAAGAGTGATGTAAATATCATTGTCTTTAGCGAATTGTAACGCCGGCAAGAAATTGCTACTACAAGAACATGAGAGATGTTAGATTGAAACAAAAGAAGAAGAAAGTTTTAGAAACAACTGAAGCAGGTTGTGATATAAGACTCAAGGGAGAATGCTTGACCATGCATGATCGAGAGGGAAAACTTCTGGTTAAAGCAACTAGGTCTAAGAATCAACTCTACAAGGTACAGATGGGGATTAAAGACAGTGTATGTCTTCTTTCAACGAAAGTCTCTGAATCATCAAGGTGGCATTCAAGGTTAGGACATGTGAATTATGAGACAATACGGTCAATGGCACATAAAGAGTTCGCTATCGGGATCCCACAACTTAACTTTGAGAAGAAGATATGCGGTTCATGCTTACTTGGAAAGAAAGCAAGACAGGTGTTTCCACTAGCCTCTACCGAGCTAATAAAATACTTGAGTTAGTTCATGGAGATCTGTGTGGGCCAATAACACCATGTACAGCAGCAGGAAATAGATATATCTTTGTCCTCATCGACGATCATTCCAGATATATGTGGACAATCTTGCTAACCGAGAAGGCTGATGCACTAGAGAAGTTCAAGAAGTTTGTCAAATTAATAGAACACGAGTCAAAAGAAAAGATACAAACATTAAGAACAGATAGGGGGGGACAGTTTGTATCACAAGATTTCAATACATTCTGCGAGACCAATGGAATCCAAAGACATCTTAAGGCTCCCTATACTCCGCAACAAAACGGAGTAGAAGAGAGACGTAACAGGAAACTCATGGAAATGACTCGGAGCATTCTGAAACATATGCAGGTACCAAACTTCATGTGGGGAGAAGCAGTTCGGCACTCAACCTATCCTCTAAACTGCATTGCAACAAGATCCGTGAAGGATAAAACCCCATAAGAAGCTTATCGAGGCAAGAGGCCAAGTGTTGGTCACCTACGAACTTTTGGATGCATAGGGTACGCAAAAACAGTGAAACCTCACCTAAAGAAGTTGGAAGACAGGTCGAGTATGTTGGTCCATCTCGGAACAGAACCGCTGTCTAAGGCATATCGCATGTATGAACAAGAACTCAGAGGATAAAAGTCAGTAGGGACATCGTGTCTGATGAGACAAAAGGTTGGAATTTGAATAAAGACAGTTCAGATCAAAACCGGCCAGGAGACCTTATCATTAATGCTGGAGAATTCGGGAATCATGGCATTGAGAAGGAAGCACAGGAACCGTCAACTGAGGAGGCTATTGAAGCGGTTAGTAGTAGAGAAGCAATATCACACGATGGTGAAGAAGTAGAAGAAAACAGTGATGATCTTGATTCTACAGTGATGATCTTGATTCTACCTTAAAACAACTAACGGTTTATAGAAATAAAATCGGGCGTAGTCCGGGGAAGTCTTTAGATTAGTGTCATAAATATTTAATCTTACACTATATATTGGAAACTAATTACTGTCACTTTGTTCCAATGTGAAAACAAATGGATTACATTTTTTAAATAATTTGTATGTTTTTTTTTTGTAACATGGTACGATGAATAACTGGGCTCAAAACAACATATGTAGTTAGTCTAAAACGTAAACACAAACATTGGTAGTAATTACGATGATTGAAAGTTTGAACACATTTCATTAGTAATTATGATGAAAGAGTGTAAAATGGAGACTCATACACATCATGGAGAGTTGTTTGAAGACTTAGACTTAGACCACTACTTCAAATTATATTCATTCAACAACAATCTCTCATAAGGAATTTAAAATTTGTGAATATTAAATTAAATCCTCACCATATATAACTTTTTTAAAACACCAGACTATAACTTTCAAATAAGTAACCAAAGCTAGAAACCAAAGACTAATCTTTTTGGGACGAGACCAAAATTCTCAATTTAGAGAGTCATTATTAGTTTATATGATTTAAAAATAAAATTTTAGTGATAGTTTGTTTAGAAAATTGTTCTTAAAACTGGTTGGTCTGTTATAATTTTTATTCTAATGTATTTTCATGAATTGGTTTGGAAAACAATATTATCTTTAGTTTGGATTGTTTTTTATTCAATTTAATTTCTATTATGAAACTTTTCAATATGGTAATATAACCCAGTAATTATAAAGTAAGAAAGAGTTTAAATCGGTTTTAAATTTATAATTGTTTTATAGAAAATCTAAATTAATAAGATAAATGTATTTTAGTTAATTTTTACTCATCAAACTTATCATTCTATATATGATTTCATTTAATAAAAAATGACAAATTGTGAGCTAAATTATGTGAAATATTTTAAACATAAGGCAATTAATAAATTCAAATGTTTTTTTTTACAATGTAAAAGTTTAAAATCTATTGTAATATATATAACAATATTATATTCAAATGTTATTGTAAACTTTTTATTTTACCTAAAACTTATACAATACCCCGGGCGTAGCCCGGGAAAAGCCCCTAGTGTTTATAAGATTCTATTATTGTCGATTGATTATAAGTTATCCCTTTTTACATTTCTACATTATTGAATCTAATTAATTTCGCCTAACAACTAAAAAGTTTCAAAAAAAAAAAGACAAACTAAATCCATCTGATTTTTCTCCTATTTATTCTATCGTAATATTTTGTCTATGCAAATGTGTGCCACACGATTCAAATCAATAGTTAAATATTTTTTTTTAAGAAATATTTCACTATACAAGGCTATCCCCTTGATGTCTTTGGATGAGGAGGTCCCGCTTTCTCTCCCTGATGACTTCCGCTTCAGAGTTGTCGACGAGAACGCTACAAGTTTGTTGGGCCGATTGCTTAATCCAGACGGCCAACCGCATGGAGGGTTGAAGGAAGAGTGCGGGGTATAGCTCTATCCAGGGATCGCTTTCAATTCATATTCCAGCGTGAAGAGGATTTACTGACGGTGCTAAAGGATCGCCCTTGGTACTTTCTGCGGACGAAGAAGCTATGGATCAGAATCCGTAACATACCGATAAACTTCTTCATGTCAGAGACGATGTGGAAACTAGCGCGTGAGGTGGGCCATGTGGAGGAGGTTGCCTATGATCCGAAGATCTCCCACACGAAAGATTACATTCGGGCCCTGGTTACTTTCAATACAGAAAACCCGGCTAAGGCGTCGAGGAAAATTGATGCAGGAGGAGAATCAGTGACTATTGAATTTAAATACGAGAAGATACACAAAAGACGCTCGATCCCACTGCCTTCGCTTGACGCATGAGAAATTGAGATGCCCGTTGCTGAGAAAGAATCAAAACAGAGGACATACGAAGATTGGGGAGAGCGGTCCTAGTGTTCCTCCCCGTCATGAAGTTACTAAGGAGATACATAACAGACCGGTACTTCAAGAGGGCCCTCCTGGACAGGGGCGGCTCAGGGGAGGGACAAACGGTGCACCGCCCCAGGGCCCACACAAATAAGGGCCCAACATTTTTTTTTTACAATTTGTATTTTATTTTTTTTATATATGCTTTCATAACTAAAATTTATATAATATATTTTTATGATTAGATTTATCACAAAATTTCATAAACAGATTAAATTTTTTGCTATCTTAAAAATATTTTTAAGAAACTAAATTTTCATTAAAAGAATGCCAAAAAAAAAAAATTCACCCAGCGGCCCTCAAAAGTCTTGAGCCGGCGCTGCTCCTGGATTCCCTCCTCTATTCCCTGAACTTCCGGTTAATGAGAAAATAATGGCTATGATGTATATCTCTTTAAGGTTAAGAAGAAAGTTGTAGAATTAACTTACCATTCTCCAACAAGAGGCTTCCCAGAGAGATCAATACCAACAACACCGACATTTCTCATCTCCAAAGCGAGCTTAACCTTGAAAGAGAATGCAAAAGATTGTGTTACCTTTGGAGTTGTTCTTAACTCGAGATAAACCACATTTTCTAAAGCAAAGTCTTCTATAACCTTGACAAAAGAGAAGATGAGATAATTCCTTAGTCTAAAACCAAATGCTAATACCAATGTAATGAGATTGAAGTTAGTGCTTTTTTTTTCTTTTTTACTTCTCTAGTGATTTTTGTCACTGTTTGGAGATCAGTTGTGATCATATGGATCAAATCAAACAACTTGAATACCTAGCCAAAGACCGATCATCTAAAAACATCAAACAAAAACAAAGAAGGATTTCATATTTTTTTTTAATTATTAGACCAAACATGAGAAACTAAAGGAGACCAAACTCAGCACAACAAGGTAACATATGTTCTGAGATTGACTTACTTTTCTGAATGACATCTTCAACATCAGAGAATACTACAACCCCTTTCTCACCAAGAACCCTAGCAAGCTCTCTGTCCAAATTAACAAAAACCCCATCAAAACTATAAAACCTCAAAATCGAATTTTTAAAGCAAAAAGTCTCGTAATTGATCAGATAACGAGAAACAGAGAGAGAGATAGAACAAATGAAAAGAAAAAAAAAATCGAGAGGATTTACAGAAGAGTGGAGTCTCTGATGGAGCCGTTGAGATGAGCATGCAGCTCGATCTTGGGCATTGGATGTATCCATTCCATTTTTTTTTTTTGTAAATTACTATCGCAGAGAAGAGAAGAAGAGTAAGACAGTGCAGATAAGGAAGCAAAGACAGAGACGCAAGTTATCGCTTTATATATGTCTGCGATGTAGGTTGTGGAATGTAAGTCTTATTAGATGGTAACACATTACAATATATAGGTAAGCAAGGAGCCTATACTAGGTTAACATCATTTACATAATGACCCTTTCCATATATACATATGATCCTCTATACGCCCCCTCAAGATGGAGGGACATTTGTGACTCCAATCTTGGATATAGCAAGCATGAACTGTTGACTTGTGAGAAGCTTTGTAAGAGCATCAGCAAGTTGATCTTTAGTAGAAATGTGAGACACGCGTACCATTCCAAGCTGTATCAAATTTCTGATGAAGTGGTAATCTATGGCAATATGCTTCATTCTCGAGTGAAACACAGGGTTTGCACACAAGTAAGTCGCATCAATGTTATCACAGTATATTACCGGAGGAAGAGGATTGGTAACCCCGAGCTCCTTGAACAACGAACATAGCCAAAGAACTTCTGAAGCAGTATTAGCCACTGCCCGGTACTCGGCTTCTGTTGAAGATCTTGCGACGCCATTTTGCTTCTTTGATGACCAGGAGACTGGCGTGGAACCGAGGTAGATAACATATGCATTTGTGGAAACGTAATCATCACTATCTCCTGCCCAATCTGCGTCCGTAAAGGCATGAAGAGTGAGAGGTGAGCCAGCTTTCATGTAGATTTTGTTGCTTGTTGTTCCTGCTAAGTACCGTAGTACTCTCTTGGTGGCTTGGTAATGATTTTCGGTTGGTTGATGCATGAACTGAGACAGGCGATTTACTGCAAAAGAGATGTCTGGTCTAGTAAAGGCAAGATATTGCAAACTCCCAACAATCGATCTGTATTGAGACGCATCAGAGAGAGAAGAGCTATCATGAAGTGTAAGCTTTGGTGTTGTCTGCATCGGAGTAGATACTGTTTTTGCATCCAACATGTTGGTGCTAGTGAGAAAATCCAGGATGTAGCGTCGTTGCATCAGATGCAGCCCTTGTCGTGTTCGTGTCACTTCAATACCCAAGAAGTAGTGTAAGTCAGTCGGATCTTTTAAGGAGAACCGCTGTGCCATAGATGCCAAAACATATGCGAGATGTCGAGGATCACTTCCAGTAACGACGATATCGTCAACGTACACAAGAACATAAGTACAATGAGAACCAGACTTGTAAGTAAACAGAGACGTGGGTTTCGGCCCATTATCATTTGGAGCAGTGGGCTCAGAATCAGAGGAGGAAGAAGAAGAACGAGTTTGAGAGGCAGAAGACGATACCTGAGTTTGTTGTGGCGAGATCGGAGACGTGGCCGGAGATGAGGGGTGAGGAGCCGAGCACGGGGAAGAGGCAGCCGGTTTCTTCAACGGAATTACAGTCACCGACGGAGTGTGAGCTTGAGCAGAGCCCATCGCGTCGTCTGAGAGGTCTTGTGGGTGAGTCGATGACGAAGTGGAGAACGGAAAAATCATCTCTTAGAAGGTCACATGACGCGAAGTGTACACTCTACCCATGGACTTATGAAGGCACAGGTATGCACTCTGACTTGTTGAATACCCAAGAAAAACACAGGGCTTAGATCGATCGTCGAGCTTCTGATTTGTGTAGGGTCTGAGCCATGGAAAGCATTGACACCCGAAGACTCATAATCTTATATAGTTGGGAGGCTTCTTGAATAACCGCTGGTAGGGAGAATCGAAGTCCAAATTTGGAGTTGGCAATCGATTTATCAAGTAGATCGCCGCCGCAAATGCGAACGGCCAGTACGTCTTCGGAATAGAGGCTTGGGACAGTAGTGTAAGTCCTGTCTCAACAACATGGTGGTGCTTCCTCTCTGCAACACCATTGTGTTATGGTGTATGAGGAGGTGATGTAAGGTGAGAAATGCCGTGACTTTGGAGGTAAGATCTCAATGCTATAAACTCTCCACCATTGTCTGAGAACAATGTTCCAATTTTTGTCTGAAAACGATTCTCCACCAACATTTTATAGGCTACAAATATCTCCTTGACCTGAGATTTTAGTTTAAGAGGGTAAAGCCAAGTGTATTTGGTGTAGTGATCAACTAGGATGAGATAGTATTTGTACTGATCAATTGATAGAATAGGAGATGACCAGACATCCGAGAAAACAACCTCAAGAGGTCTTGTAGAAGTAATGCTCGAATTTGAAAAAGAAAGCTTGTGACTTTTATTAATCATGCAGTCTGAACAAGACATAGTTTTAGAAGATAACTGAGACATAGGAAGAGAAAACTTTGAGATTGTTTTATTAAGAATAAAAAGAGAAGGATGACCCAAACCGGAATGCCAAGAAGATAGAGTAGCCTTAGATGATGGTGAAGAAAACATGGCCGCTGGTGATGATGTGAGTTTCGGCCACTCATAGAGTTTTTCCTTAGTCTTGCCTTGGATTAACCGGGCCCCCATTCTCAGATCCTTCACCTGAAACAAGGGGGGAAAGAAATCGACGGATACTTGATTAGAATTGCATAAACCATACACTGAAATCAAGTTCTTGTGTATATTGGGAACACATAGTATATCGTTTAGCACAAGAGATTTAGTATTAGAGGAGAGGGTGGCAGAACCAGTATGTGTTATGGATTGATTGGAACCATCCGCTATCACAACTGCCTCACCTCCTTCGTATGGTTGATGCAGGGACAGGTTTTGCAAGTCTGAAGTAATGTGATGGGTAGCGCCACTGTCAAGGAGCCAGTTGTTGGCGTTGTAGGAGGAAGTCGCTGCTACATTGGCACGTGGTTGATATGGAGAGAATGGAGATTGCTGAGAGCTCGCTTGAAAGCTAAGAAGCTGCGGACACCTTCTAGCTCCATGTCCCTGACTACCACAAATCTGGCGCTTACCAAGATACGGTCTTGGCCCACGGTGGTGTTGCTGTTGCTGCCAATTCATGGAATTGTTGTTTTGAAACTGTGATTTGTGTTGAGTCGGATACTGACCACTCGGAGTCTTGTTCTTCTTGTTGTTGGAACCTCCAGGAGTACTCTTGTGATGCACCACATTAGCCGACACTGGTAGTGTTGGTGTAGGTGTAACAGCAGCCAGCTTCGCTTCATGATGAAGTAACTTCTCATGAATCTCAGTGACAGATGGAGGGACCTCACGACCTTCAATCTGATCAATGACCGTCTTGTATCCCTCAGGTAAGCCTTCAAGAATAGCGTCAATTTGATCCTCATGTTCCATTGGCTTGCCGAGAATTGCAAGTTGATCAAGTCTGGTTGTGATCCCTTGGATGTAGACGTCTATCGTCTTAGTGTCTTTCTTCCAATACTTCAGTTGCTGGCGCAGGTTTTTGATGTGAGCACGGCTTGGTTTGGCGTAGGTGGAAGCGAGTATCTCCCACACTTGAGCCGCAGTCCCTGGTCTCGAAACAAGAGGTTGAATAGGGAGGGTGGTAGCACCAATAAGAGCACTAAAGAGCAAACGATCTTGTTTATTCCACGCAACGTGGTCCGGGTTGACTGTTGTTTCACCATCGACGGTGATCTCTAGAAATGGAACCACAGTCGATCCATCTAGATGACCAATAAGGCCATATCCATCTACCAAGGCATGAACTTGGAGACTCCACATAAGGTAGTTTGTAGCTGAAAGTTTCGAGACGTTGGACATGTTGATATTGAGAACTGTTTGTGAGTTTGTGGTGATGGTGATAGTTTCAGAATGAGAGGGAGACGCCATAGATCTGGACGTGGAGAAGAAGATATGAAAAGAAAATTTTTAGGTCTTTAGGAGCGACGGCTCTGATACCATGTAGGTTGTGGAATGTAAGTCTTATTAGATGGTAACACATTACAGTATATAGGTAAGCATGGAGCCTATACTAGGTTAACATCATTTACATAATGACCCTTTCCATATATACATATGATCCTCTATATGCGATAGTTAACCAAACCGAACCTGCCGAACAGAACCAATTCTATTTTTTTTCTTGTTTTTCTGTTCCGGTTTGGTTTTAAATTCTAAAGCGGTTTACTGGTTTATCAGACAAAGTTGAATAATCAGTTCAAGTCAAAGTTGAATATACAGTTTTCCAATTGGCTCTAGTCGCTGGCGCACTCTATTAGACACAAAGTGTCCCACATCGGAAGTTGGAAGGGATTCTTAGTGATATATAAGATAGATGGGCCAATTCACTTATCACCAATTGGTTTTAAGTTGGAAGCCCATCTAGCTTAACATGGTATCAGAGCCCACGATCCATGCAGTCCAACCCGATCCTTATCGATCCAGCCCAAAGTCGGCCCATCGATCCTTGCCCGAACATTCCGAGATTGATGCCAAAGAGCCATCATCTCGAGGGGGCGTATTAGACACAAAGTGTCCCACATCGGAAGTTGGAAGGGATTCTTAGTGATATATAAGGTAGATGGGCCAATCCACTTATCACCAATTGGTTTTAAGTTGGAAGCCCATCTAGCTTAACACACTCCTTCAACCTGAATTTGGATACACAGACATGGATCACATATCTAAGGTACTAATAGGTTTCTTTTTACGTGTAGTCTGGATTAGTTAGAAACATATGGAGAATGTTGTTATTGGTCTCATTTGTGTGTTCTACTTCTATCCAGCTGGTTAGTTGCTTCGACGACTATGGCTTCAACAGCAGCTTATGGAGCACAGTACATGAAGAAGAAACCTATCTCCATGATTAAGAGATCAAAGTAAACATCTAGTTACTTAACACTGAAAAGCCTGAACGAACGGCTCTTACTGTTTCTGTCTGCTAACTTTAAATATAGAAAAAAAGGAATATGAGTAAGTGGTTAACAAATGAACCACCGAGAAATGATGTCTTGTTTTTTTTGTACAAAAAGAGTGGAGCTTTTGGTTTCTTTTCATTTGTCTTCCTAGCTTCTTGTAAAGAAAAATGTCTTTCAATGTGGATGATCCATAAAATCGAACACTAATAGATCGAATCACGGCACATGATAGAACGCAATCTCTGATTTAGAAGTTGAAAAAGTTTCGGACATGAACGAAGAGAAACATTTGTTCTGTTCTGATATTTGAACACAATAAACATGTCATTATGGCATAATCACTAACAAAAATGAGAGCAAATTTTGTGAGGCCATATACAAGAGCTCTAAACATATTCAAAAAAAGACCATTGACAAGCATCTTACTCAGTAGTTTATAAGCTAAAAGTGCGACGTAAAACATAAACCAGTGAAGCAGGTGATTCGAAAATTCAACTCAACCCTGAAAGCTTGGGGACAACTGAGAAGTGAACTTTCAGAATACGTAAGTATATCAACATCAATGAATCAATGACTATTAAGGCAAGAGGTCAGACAAGAATTCCATCTCTAAACAGTTGTGAATCCGCTATTAACTAATAATAATCCAGACACTACAAGAATAATGAGGAGAAGGAAGGAAAGCTCAAAGCTTTACATCATCAATGAAACAATGACTATTACGGTAAAATGTTAGTACATCTGATCCCATATGAAGGGTACGCACACTAAATCTTGTCTGAAAGTTACTGATTAGTAAGTAGTAATCTAATTATATGCAGAAGATTGTTTTGTGATAACATGCAAGATAGAATAAAAAAAAGAAAAAAAAAAAAGTACTTGAGACAAAGACAGTATCAGCATGAGACATCATCAGCATATAACAATTTAGGGGAACTACGTGATGAGTATGAGAGGACAGGAGCGGAAGATTGAATGCTCCCCCAAATCTCCCACAGCCCCTCCTCTACTTGGTATTTCTTCAAGGAGATGTCGGCATACCAAAGCTCCAAAAGACCTTCTTGTTGAGGCAGCCCGGCTTCCCAGAAGATGGCAATAGTCTCCATAGAGGAACCGCAGACTTTGATGATGTGTTGCTGCTGCAGCAGCTCTTCCAAACCCTTGACTTGCCTCCAAATATTCCCACCTGGCCAACGCCACAGTAGTCTCCCGCAGATACCACGGGACAGTAGTACCTCAAATAAGAGCCAGTCGTTTCTGTTTTCTGGGTTAGGCTCTACTATCCCCTTGGTAATAAACGTAGGGGGGGTAAACTGTGGTGCAAAGTAAAAAATTTGACCATCCTCATCCACCCCACAAAAAAGCTTGTCTATCACAAAGTTTTGTTGGATGTTGAGGGGAATCTTGGGCGTAGACACACACAAAAACTCCCAAGACCTCCCAAACTCCAAATCCAACACCTCTACCCAGTTTGAGGAATTAGCGACATCATCCCAGCACCCCCCAAACACGTATATCTTATTGTCTATCACACATGCGGATGCTCCGCTTCGAGCCATCTTCATGGGGACAATTCGGTGCACTGTGTGGTCAATAGCATGAAACAGCGTGACTTCCGATGTGGGCTTGCCGTTCATGACTCCACCGATACAATAGATCCCCCAATACGTTGTCACGAAACAAGATCCGGCTAGTGGAGCCGGATAAAAGGTCGAATGAACCGGTTTTAGCCGACGTTGCAGGGGGTGGAGGACGAACCACCTTGGGCTTGGATCTTCTGGATTCATGTGCATAAATACGTACAAATATGGCTCCAATTTACCCATCCTATTTCTCGTCGCCCTGATAACGCGGGACTTTGCCACATGCCGGTGTCTCTTGGAGACCATGCCTAAGGCCACCATGTCCAGTCTCGACACCTGACTCAGGCAATCCAAAAGCAAATCATTTGGCAGCGACCATAACCCACACTCCTCCTCCTCCTCCTCATTCTTTGATTCCAATTCACTACTACTGCATCCCCCAATCGCACCTCTTCCTCTCTTCATACCTGTGACTGTGAGACAGGATCCAGACAAGACACCCGCCTGATTGTTTAACGCTAATGATAGTCCTCACATATCTTCAATCTTCAATTATTTATATACTACATACATATTTCCTTTATTTTACATGGAAAAGTTTCCTTTCTACACCCAAGATAATAAATCTTAAAGATTGATTTCTCTTTTCCAAAACCGACAGGAAAAATATTATTAGCTATAAAAAGTTCATTCAGAAAATCTCTTCCACAAAAGAACTAAAATCTTATATTATCATTGTAAATAATCCACATTTAATTTTTTTTTTTAAATTCCCATGTTTATTTTGTTTGTTTCTTCTATCTTTTTTTTTTCAATTTGTTCTTCATTTCCTATGGTATATTATTTGCTTTAAATTAAAAAAAAAATCAAATGTTTCAGGACAGTTCAATTACAACATCTAATTTAAAACCGAAATTAATTATTCCCCCTTATGAAAATATATATATATATGTTTAATTATTTAAAATGTTACAAGAAAATAAGTGATCGGTATGTGGTTGATTATATATTTCAGAATTAAAATTTTGCTATCATACTATTATTTGAAAATACGTTTAAGTGAAAACGTTATAATTTGATTAGCTCAGTAGCTCATTATTGTGACTCAGTTAAATTTTGTATTAAGTTCTCTAATCTTGCTAACATGGAAACAGAAGGATTAGCTTTACTAAACCTTTTTTAATTATCCTTTTTCAATCTCGGTTTCTTTTAATCTATTTTCTGGTTATCCTAATTAAAATTCGCTAGTTTCTTAACCCGGTTTGGTTCCCAACTACTTTTTCAAATCATATTGTATGGTTTGAAATCATATTTTGTCAAACCTTATTGTATGTACAAATGCTTCATGTTATGTGGCTACATGTTACATGGTTTAAGCACGTACAATGATTGGTTTGTTACACAAAATTACATTATATGTGATTCCAATTTCAAACTACATTTTCTATGATTTATGGATTGATGTTTATGTTTGTACACGTTTTGTATATACTTACATTATTACGATTTTCTGAGGATTTAGAGTTTAAGGGTTCATATTCCATATCGTTAGGTTGTATTTTTAGGGTATGATATGGTTTATGTTTCCTGCGAATTGTATGAAACACGATATATTATGTCGTTTATATATTTATTGCACTTGATATTCTCTTTTGATATTGTTTGCTAAAACGTAATACATTAGTTAAAATATAATATTTACTAGGTGATTTTCCCGTGCTCATGCACGGGCATGTATATTTATAAAATAAATGTACAATAATAATTGATTGATATTTACTTTAATTTTTAAATTAATTTATAGTTTGTATGTCTAATTTATATTATAATATTATATTACTTTAATTATATATATATAATTTTAGATATGTTATATTTAGTCTATTTTATTGTTTTTACGGTCGATTTAGTTATCATTTAGATATATTGGATTCAATCTATTTCTCTGAATTCAACTATAATATTTTATATTTTAAATATATTATTTTTTTGATTAATTTTTTTATTTACATTTATGCTGGTTGTTATCTTAGAAATATAATTATATTTACTAAGATTATATATAACTTAAGATTTTTTTGTGCTTAGAAGGAAAAAATATAAAAAATAAAGTGTCTGATTCTAAATTACATACATAAGTAACTAATGAATTTTTAGAAGCTTTTGAACACATATCAATATTTACAATAATTAAAATATTTTATAAATTCTAAACAAATTTATGCTTTAGATTGATTGGATGGTAAACTGAAATTTATTTTAAATAATTTTAAGAATAAGGATTCTGATTTGCCTAAGTATTTTGACTATGGTTATATTAAGTTTCACAAACATAAAAACAGAAAATTAAAAATCAAAAGATTTATTAAGAAAACAGATAATTTTAACTATTAAAATATAATATATCTACCTCGTTAAATTGTATAATATTATGGTATATTAAAATAATTGTAGTTATTTTCTGTTTTTATGTTTGTGAAACTTAATATAACCATAATCAAAATACTTAAGTAATGAGAATCCTTATTCTTAAAACATATAATTTCAACTATTAAAATATAATATATCTACCTTGTTAAATTATATAGTGTTGTGATATTTTAAAATAATTTTAGTTACTTAATCAAAAGATGTTTATTATTAAATTTATTTTTAGTTTTATTTTTAGTATCTCTTAAAATAGTCAGTAAAAAGTTATTGTTTTGAGAAATTATACTATATAAGTAAAATAGAATTTATATTTTAACTGTAACTGTAAGATATTGTAGTCAAATAAATAACTAAAAAAATAATTTCAATAATACTAATTATAAAAAATGTCAATTAAACATATATCAGTTTATGTTAGTTGATTATTTTATGTAATCATCTAATAAAATAGATAGATATATACAAAAATAATTATTTTGAAAATATATATATAAAGATAAAATATTTCTTTTTCTAATAGCAATATTTTTTGTGTGAATTTTTTTTATGAAATCACATTATATACAGATATTGTTTTTTTATCTAAGAAGATATAGATATAAAGTATTTTATTACTTCAAAGGTATATTTTATGTTATTTAAAATATATTTAAATTAAATATTACTATTTTGTGAACTTTCCTTTTTTATTAAACCATATTATATATACTTATATTTTCGTTTTTAAATAGTTTTGTAAATTTTATAAATGTTTCCTTTTTATTTTATATTGNAGATATAAAGTATTTTATTACTTCAAAGGTATATTTTATGTTATTTAAAATATATTTAAATTAAATATTACTATTTTGTGAACTTTCCTTTTTTATTAAACCATATTATATATACTTATATTTTCGTTTTTAAATAGTTTTGTAAATTTTATAAATGTTTCCTTTTTATTTTATATTGTTATTTGGAAATTTTTAAAAACGAAATAATATTTAATTGTATTTTTAATTCATTAGGGGTATCATAGTAATCAACCAGCGTGAGAGTTAACGTGAGCGCGACACCTAAGAAAGTGACTTCTCAAATAATATTATAGAGATTGTTAATCTTTTAAACTGGAAACTACTATATATTGGGTATATTCTTCCGTCTCCTAGGTTAAGCAGTAAAATACTTATATATTCGATTTTAATATGCGCCTCTCAAGCGTGGAATAATTTTTCGATGAAAAATTTATATAATCGTATTTTGTCTTTATTTAAGTAGGTGTGCGTATAATATCTGTAGTCCAAAGTCTGAATCGAACCCAAACTAAAACTCGATCCGTACCCTATCTAAAATGTAAGAAATACCAGAATTAGGCTCTTATAGTGGTACAAAGTATATTTAAACTCGAAGTGTTATTAGTCAAACTTAAACGGGTAACCCGAAAAACTGACAATCCTGAAAACTTAAAAACCGACCAATATCGAAATTAATCACAAGTATAAATATTTGAAACATAAATATGTACTTCAAATATTCAATTTTATATTTATTTTGAAATCGTATTTAGCATAAGTATTTAAGTTTTAATTAAATAATTGGAATATCTAATTCTATATAAATAAGTATTTACTTCTTATGTCTTGCTTTTAAATTTGAGATTTAATTTTGGATATATCAAAGTTTATTTTATTATAATGTTTAATAAATATGTATTATAATATAAATTAATTATATGGCATTTAATTCGTTTCATACTTGATAAATATTTACATTTTTATGAAATAAGCTAAAAAAAAACAGTAATTGTAAATCATAATATCTAATTAAATAGACTATATAATCAAATAATATTATTGTTCACTAAATTTAATATTATAATTTAAATTCAGATATATTAAATTATATGCTAATATGATAATTTAGCTATTATATTAAATATAAAATTATTTTATTTTAATATTTTGCATTAATAAATTGAAGTATGTTGTATAAATATATGTTATCATGCATATGTAATTATTTTAATTTATAAATGATAAAATAGTTGTAATTAAGTTATTTTATATATATTATTTACTGTAATAATTTAATTATGAATATGAATTATGTATATATTAATATTATGGAAATGATATTTCTTATTTTATAAATCAAAATAATTAATATTTATTCTTAATAAAATTAAAAATAATTACGAAATTATATTATTTAAAATAAATATAAAACAATAAATATCTATATTTTAAATAAAAAAGATATCAAAAGATATTGTCAAATTGCAATAGTAGAAAAGATATTTGGTAATATTTTTTGATATCTTATTTTGAAAATATTTAAATAATATATTAAAGTTGTATATATTTAATAACAAATAAGTTTGTTATAACATATTAAAAATTAAATAAATTAAATGAACTAACCTAGACTATTTCTAAATAAATAAAAATAGGACTCTATATTAATAGATTATATACTTTATATCATTTACAACCTAATCATAAGACTTTCTCATCTCCAAAAAATGTCGTTTGTGGCACAAAATTCACAACACTATGTTCTGGTCAATGTATTAAAAGCATCTAGTGAAATTCAGAAAATTCGGGTGAAGATTAGAAACAAATGGACTTTGTACAATCCCAAAGCGGGAAACTCTATTGAGTTAGTCCTTGCAGATTTATCTGTAAGTTTATTATTTCATTTACGTTACTTTCATAATACCAATATTTTTTCAATACCGACTAATCATAAAAATTCATCTTTTTAAAATTTCATAGGATACGAGATTGCACGCATCTATTAAAAATGAACTTTTACCGAAACATAGACATCTTCTAAACGATTGTCCAATTTTATCAATCAACGCATTCAGTCTGAAAGAATACGTTGGTGAGTTCAGACGCAGTTCTGTTCCTTACAAATTCTCTCTCCTACTGACAATGAGGACCATAGAGTTGACAGATTTTCCTAATGATGTATCTGAAAAGTATTTTATTGACTTTGGTGAGGTATTAGACGAAAAATATGAAATAAACATATTGATAGGTAACAGTTTTCTTATATTCTTATATATTCAATAGATCAATATAATCATTCCTTTTTAATTATTTACAGTTGCCTAATCATTCATCTTTTCATCTTTTATTCGTTTTGATTTATAGGTGTCACTGGACAAATCATTCAAGTTGGTAATGTTGAAGAAGTGAAGACAAAAGGAAAGTCGAACAATTCTTCCAAACTTCAACTGATTTTTCCCGATACAAAGTAAGGATAGTTCATATTTATATAAAATAATCTACTATTTAGTATCTTCTAGAAAATATATATCAATGAGATTACACTTAACTGTACTTTGTGAAGACATCATGTAAACAAATATTTGGTTATACCGCCAAGAAGATGGATACGGTTGTGGTATGTGTCATGCGTTTTATGTTAGTCAAGTCCTACAAAGGTATAATAGTTTTAATTTTTTCCTCATTTATCTAGTTTCTAAATACACAACTCATATGTCTATTTTCTTCTGTTTTTTATAGGTGTGATAAGTATATTGTTTTATCTTACAACTTACATGTTGATGATTTCAGAAATAGGTAATATGTATTCAACATATGATCATCTTTTCATAATAATATCATATTATGCATTATTAAGTACTGTTGATAGGTTATAATTTTGTTCACAATATTTTGTCCACTTATCATCAAATGATTACAAAAGGTTCTTTCGGTCAGATATCATATGGCAATTCTTTAGTCTCTGCAGTGAGTTTTTTTCCTGAGAAGTCCTTCGAAAAATTTATCCGGTATTTTAGAACCAATATCAGTAAATATTAAAATAATTTGTTTTTGTTAAATACTATTTTCTGACTTTTTCTTATATACCATATCATCCATTGTTGAAACAATACCATATCAACCAAGTGTTTATTCTATGTAGTTTGGAAAAGCCGTTTGTTGTGTTACATCTAAGGTATTGATACTTCGAAAAGTTGATAGAATTTGGCATGCAAAACCTGTAACGATAAAGTTCAGGAATATGAGTTTTCTGAAGACGATGGAACTCAGCCGGAATACAATTATAAGACCTCTGGCGATGTTAATCTTGTCTTCCCAAGATATATTTTATTAAATATGTTTGTGTAATTTTGTAATGATATTAATTTAAAAGGTTACATTGCAAGCTAGTATATTTTATGTATTTAGATATTATTTGGTTGTGCGTGCACATGATGATTCTGATGAGGCAAATTTTTGAAATTCTATCAAATTGCTGAAAATTTTCTCTAAAGATCTGCCGATAATTTGATGCGATAATACAACGAGGTAAGTTTATATATATATATATTAAATTGTAATTCTAGTATATTTGTAATCTTTGTATCCATTTCAGCTTAATTATATACCAGTTTATCCTGAGTTGGTTAATTCTATTGTTGGGAAGAGAGTTCTTTTTAAGGTCTCATGATATCTTGTGTTTTTGGCACATTGTATATAAGCTTTGTTATTTTTTTTCAAGGTTTTATCTAGTCTTTATAGTATTTTTCGAGTCATTACAGGTCCTTACTAAATTGAGTAGCTCTTAGAGAGACACATGAAGAATATAATGAAAATTGGATTTTTCCTACGGAGCAGTCAGTCAGAGCAGTCGGTGGGTGATCCTAAACAGAGCAGCCGCTCGATATTTTTAAGGAAACTAAAAGATATTTCGAGATACGCCCTATCTTGGGCCAACAACGCCTCCATATATATTATTTTCCTCTTTCCCTTTTTATTTTCTTACGCTATTTTTTCGATGGAAAATCATACTCTAGAATTTCATCTTCGGCGATTTGCTATCTTGTAAGGGATAAGGTTTCATCTCTCCAGTTTTAAATAAGAATTCCTTCAACCCTGTTTTAACATGCCTGCAGTCATATTTCATGTTTCATTCAGGCTAAATCTCTTGTTTTCTTATGCTATGGCTGAGTAGCCGGTTTGCTTAGTCTAAGATGTTAGATTTGTTAGCTAAACATATATGTAAGGATATCATTAAATAGTCTTCATTTAGTGTGGCATTTAATACTTATGTTAAACTGATCACTTAGTATATGAATCGAGGTTTAACTTATACATCAAAAGTGTTATAGGTTACTATAACATATGATCCCTAATCAGCAAAAGTAGTTATTAGATTTTTTTTTTGTGAACCAATCGGATCCGATCGTTGATGTTCATCATCAAGTCTCAAACCAAGAGATATCTTAGGATTTGAGGCTGATCGATGAAACTAGAAACCCCACGAAAGTGGGTTGCTCTTTAGTCGCTTTCTGAGTTTTAGACTTGAATTCTATAAGACCTTGAATAATTGTTTGGCTCACAAATTTTTACACTCGATCAAATCACCCTAGGCTATTAGTTAATCTGAGAACCTCAAAGCAATCATGTTACTTGCTTGTTACGATTTCTGTAAGTTTAAAATTATCTATTGTTTTAGTTTGAAATTGAACCCATAGATATAAAGTGTAACTGATCCCATGGAATTGAATCTAAAATATTACAACCATCATTGTTAACTTGACAATAGCAAATATCCAATTTTAATGTATCAAATTTTGGTGTTCCGAGGATCGAACACGGGTCCCCCGCATGGCAGGCATTAATACTTACCACTATACTACAACATAGTGCTCTGAACTCAGCGAGCAATGGAAAATTCATGACTCAGAAAACCGATGGAGCATTTGAACTGATTGAGAATATGGCTGCCAATTAAGCTAATAAGAATGAAGAGAATTATCACTCAAAGAAGGTCAACAGTGTCGACACCCAATGGAAAGATGACTTGACACCCAAGGTTGCTTTTATCAAGAAGAACAACCAATGGCAGATCTATGTTATGGAGGAAGCATGGACTGAGCAAGTCAACCAATAAGTTGCAGCGGAGTTGGAGAAAGAGATGATCAGAAAGAGGTCAGCTATCTCAATGGGCAGGGAAATCATCAAAATCCCAATGTTAGAAACAACCCACAACTTTTATCATACCGTAGCAACAATGTGCAGTACACTACTAATCAGAACAACCAGGTGCAAGTCTCTGGGTATCAAAGGCACTTTCCACAAATAATTTCAGGGTAAAACCTTTGTGTTCAGGTAGGATGATATACCTTATTATTTATCAGTTTTATGTCATATTATGGACTCCATTTGGAGACTATTTTGTGTGTATAGGCTATGTTTTTGAGTATTTTCAGGTTTAGGTACGTTTTGGAGTTATGTGGAGTACATGGTGCATTTTGGATGAAGAAACCCGTAGCTGACAAAAATCAGCTAAGTCAGAGTCGACATAAGAGGTCGACATCGATCGACAGGGCCACCCTGGCGTCGATCGATGATCGCTGTGCACAAACCAGACTTTGTTCAAGACCGACTAAAAGCCCCAAGTCTACAAATAATTACAAGGCTACCCCTAACAAGTTTTTACCTAGTTTATATTGGTTTCTGCCACTTTTAAGCAGAAGACCAATCACTGCAACACTTTTGTTTCCATAGTTTCTTATTTTGTTTTGGAAGAAGATCAAAACTTGTTTCATAGCTTTGTATTGGATCCCCGGTTATTAACTATGCATTTAATTCAGACTATATTTTGTGATTGCTTGATTATGTTTGAGTAGTACTTCTTGTTAGATTTAGGTTCTGTGGTATTTGATCAATTAGCCCAAATATAAGATTGCTAGAAAACTAATATCAATTGATTAGGATAGTTTTTAATGCATGTGATTTGGAGTAGCTAACTAAATCTTGAACTTCTGACATAGACAGCTATGACAGTAGGTTCTTTGCTTGGTCATATTTCTAATTGAGCTAGGATTGTTATATGCATGCGACGATTGGTCGACCAATTGTAGTGGATATCAATTCGTCGTAACCGTCTATCGATATTGGTGTTTCACCATCGATAGAATATCGATCGATAATCATTCTTGTGCGTTTGATTCCTTGTGCATTATATCTACTTGCACCCTATCCATTATAATCCACGTGTATAAACCCTAGATCTGGCTATTTTCCTTATTTTCATAACTTAAACTTAAACAATTTCATTTTTATTCAAACATGATCTCCTATATAAGTATTTCACATACTTAACTATTAGAATCACATAAATCTATTGTGTGCCTTCGCTTTATGTGGATTTGATCCCTAAGTACTTCATCTGATCTCTCTTGGCAAGAGTAGTTTTTAAGTTGAATTTCATAGGGTAATTTGATAGAGTGGATTAGGAATTATAACACCCTGCAATGTAGCCTTGTCAAATTTGGCCATTGCCGGGGAGCTTAAATCACCATTAGATTTATTTTCTAGGTTTAGTCTATGTTTCTTTTTATTTTTACAGTAATAATAATTCTCTTTCTTTTTTACAAGTGCATGCCCATCAGTACCAGAAGCAACAAAAATCAAAAGTTACTTTTCTCAGACACAATAGCAAGCGAACGTTCAATCCGCAAGAAGAAGTGGCTAACATCGATCGATGCCCTTGACCGTTGGTCGACCCATAGTTATTTTAATTTCTCATCGGTCGATAGCACAGACGTACCATCAATCGATGGTGAACCGCGAGTCCCAATGGTTGTTGCAATCGTTTTGATAAGAGATAAGAATCAGGACCTGCGTGATCTTGAAGGTCACTTGCGTAATGCAGCAGGTCAGAAGATAGATAAGTAGGGGGCTGTAATCTCTGAACCATAAGTAGGAGCAAACACTGCAATAGGTCAACCTGAAGCTAATGCCCAAGCTGCTCAGGCAAGGACACTGGTAGATGATGATAGGAGTTTTAAGGTTCCTAATCAAATGTTGTAATATAAAAGATGTCAAACCAGTTCTAAGTGATCATAAATCAAAGGAATTGCAAGACTATGCTTAATCTAAGTGCTATAAATGTTGAGATAGTTTTTAGAGTAAGAGACTACTAAATAAGCAATAAAGATCAAAGCTTTCTATCAAAATGAGAAGAGAGAATTCATGGGGTAAGGGAATTGATCTTGGGTAATTAAGTTTCAATCTAAAGGTGTACGCTTTTCAATCAATCTATCAACCTTAGGACACAATCCTAAACAAACTCTATCTCTAGATGAATGTTCATTTGCAAAGATAACTCAAGCATCTAATCTCTTAGGTTGAATGTTATCTAAACAATCATTAAAATCAAGTCTACTAGCCATCCTAACACCTTTAACAACAAATCTCTTTGGTAAAGAATGTTAAAAGCATTGGAGAGTTGGTTCAGGTA